AATGACACAAACTCTTCGACCTTTCATGGGAAAGTTTCTTGTGGTCTATTTTGATGATATCCTCATCAACACCGTGACCACCTCACACAAGTTTGCTCTACCCTTCGTGTAACTAATCTGTATGCTAACGTTAAGAAGTGCTTTTTCTCCACCGATACAGTCGTTTATCTGGGGTTCATTGTCTCTTCGACAGGGGTATCTGCTGACCCTGTGAAGGTTCAAGCAATTATTGACTGGCCTGAGCCTAAAGCTATTAATGACGTCAGGAGCTTTCACGGCTTAACAACATTTTACCTTCGCTTTATCAAGGGATTTAGCACTATTATGGCGCCTATCACAAAGTGCATGAAGAAAGGGGAGTTTCGTTGGACACAAGAGGTGGCTAAGGCCTTTAAGTTGGTCAAAAGGCGAATGACGTAGGCTCCTGTCATGCATCTTCCCGACTTTTCCATAATCTTTGAAGTTGAATGTGATGCCTCCGGGGTAGGTAGAGGCAGAGTCTTGAATCAGGATCGTCACCCTGTTGCCTACTTCAATGAAAAGTTAAATGAAGCCAAACAGCGGCACTCAACTTATGATAAGAAACTGTATGCAGTGATCCAAGCTTTGCACTATTGGTGCCACTATTTGTTACCCCATGAATTTGTCCTTTATTCGGACCACGAGGCCCTCCATTACCTCAACTCCCAGAAGAGATTAAGCTCTAGGCATGGTCGTTGGATTGAATATTTGCAGGTTTATTCATTTGTTTTAAAATACAAGAAGGGCGTGGAGAACCAAGCAGCTGATGCATTAAGTCGTCATGTCTCCCTTTTGTCGATCATGAGTGTCAAGGTCATCGATTTTGAAATGCTTAAGGAGGATTACGAGACATGTCCCGATTTTAAGGATATCTTTCTCGATTTGCAAATGGGACAATCAAACACCACAGATGACTTCCGACTTGAGGAGGGTTATCTCTTTCGAGCCAATAAATTGTGCATCCCTCGAACTTCAGTGCGAGATTTTATAGTGTGGAAAGTTCATGCGGGAGGGTTAGCCGGTCACTTTGGACGTGATAAGACTAGGGGTGGGCGCGGGTCGGTTCGGTTCGATTCTAAAGAGATCTGAACCGAACCAAAATTTTCGGGTATCTAGTAAATGGAACCGTCGGAGGTCACAGTTTCGATCGAAGATTTGAGGGTCACAGCGTCGGCTGACGATTGTATAGGTTTTGGAATGTTAGCAAGGCTGCGAGAGTCGAGACAACGTTATACACTTTAGTATAGGTGTTTATGGTTATTTAGTGGATTGGATCTTGTTGGACTAAGAAATAAAACAATAAAATGGTTAATTGGGCCAAAAATTAAAAAATTAGAAATGAAACAAATTATTGGGCCAAAAATTTGGATTTAGAAATTGTTAATTTGTTTAGAAAAAATTAAAATTAAAATAATTTGATTTACTCAATATAAAAAAAATTAGAAATATTCGGTTCTTATTCGATTTTTCGGTTCTTGGTCTAGAATCGAGAATCGAACCGTACCCATCGGTTCTCAATTCAAATACCTGTTCGGGTATTTAATTTGACAAGAACCGTCGGGTTCGGTTCAGTTCGGTACGGGTTCAGTTCGATCGGTTCGATTCGGGAGATTTGCCCAGCCCTAGATAAGACCATAGAGGAAGTTGAATGCCAATTCTATTGGCCTAGCTTGAAGAAAGATGTGGCTAAAATTGTTAGTACATGTAACACTTGTCAATTGAGTAAACAGAAGAGACAGAACACAGGTCTATACACCTCTCTTCCCGTCCCTAATTGTCCTTGACAAGATGTTCGTATGGATTTTGTATTAGGCCTTCCACGCACCCCAAAGAAACATGATTCTATTTTTGTGGTTGTCGATCATTTTTCGAAAATGGTTCATTTTATCCCCTGTAGCAAGACCTCAGATGCGTCTAAGGTGGTCATGTTGTTCTTTAATGAGATTGTTAAATTGTATGGGTTTCCTAAGACTATTTATTGTGTTCGATAGGGATGTTCATTTCACTAGCCATTTTTGGAGGACTTTGTGACAAAAGATGGGTACCAAATTGAAATTTTCTACGGCCTACCACCCTCAGATTGACGGTCAAACTAAAGTAGTTAATCGAAGTCTTGGTAACCTATTACGTTGTCTGGTCCGGAAAAATCTTCGAAATTGGGATTTGATCCTTCCTATAGTTCAAATTGCGTATAATAGCTTCATAAATCGTTCATTAGGTATGAGTCCATTTGAAGCCGTTCATGGGTACAAGCCTAGGAAACCATTGGATCTCATCCCTATGTCCCCACAGGGTAGAGTGTCAGTGTCAGCCGAAGCATTTGCACAACATCTTCGGGATTTGCATATTGAGATCAATAAACAACTTGAAACTAGTAATGCAAAATATAAACTCCAAGCTGATTTACATAAACGACATATTAAGTTTAACATTGGGGATTATGTTATGGTCCGCATTAGGCCAGAGCGACGTCTATATGGACCCGCTTCCAAATTGCAAGCTCGTAGTGTTGGTCCTTTTAAGATTTTAAAGCAGATTGGTCCAAATGCATATGTTGTTGACATTCCACCAAGCCTTGGTTACCACTCTACTTTCAATGTTGAGGATCTAGTAGCTTATAAAGGCTATTTCATTCCCTCAGATGATCATTTGTTACCTCCTTTTGTGGACCTTGATCCCTATTATTTGGCCACTTCTAACCCACTACCACCTCTCATAGCACACACAGATAAAATTGATACTATTTTAGATGAAAAAATTGTGTTTACTAATGATGGAGAGGTTCAGCGCTTCCTCGTTCGTTGGGTTGGTCGACCAGATTCTGATTGTACATGGATCTCCAGAAAGACACTACAGCAATTGGATCCAAATTTATTGGAGTTTTATCGGAGTCAGCAGGATTTTCCTTGGCCTAGATCGCCTCTCGTTCACCCAAGGGGAGTTGGTGAGGATATCAGGTTCAGACCTCCACTGACACATTTCTACAGATGTCGGAAGAAGTTTGCCCAACCACTCAGCTTATGGTTGGGAGATTGATGACCGCCTATAGTGATATATCCACTCGACAGGGACGAGTTTTCTCCCACCCCGGGAGAGTTGATGACGACATCGAATATTTATTAATATTATTTTCTAGTTAAACTTTATTTATTTTCTTGGACTATTATTTAGAAAATTGGACTTGTATGGACTCGGGCCCAATCTCGTTAGGGTTTGCTTTACTATTAAACATACTTTGCTTTGTAATTTTTAGTTGATGAATGAATAATTATTTTGGTGGCTTATGGCGCATCCCTCTCCTTCTTCCGCCTTCTTTTGTTGAATTATTCTCCTCCCCCTCCCCTAATTCCCTATTCTTTCTAAATTTGTCTTCTTTTTCTATTAATCATCCTATAGATGCTGCATCAATTGTGGCAATCAAATATCAATTCGATCTTCTTCTTCCACTCCAAGTAGGCTTCCAGATCACTCATTACTTTGAATGAAGGAATTGTCATTTTGATATTGCACATACTTCTGTCTATTCTATCTCCACCAAGATCTCTAGCCCTCATTTCATGCCCAACTTCTCTGTCATTCATTCTTCCTATCTCGGCGTCCACCAATGTTCATTGATCAATGTCATTACTTGCTCATATTCTACACGATTCTCCACCCTAGGCTTCTGCCTACCCTATTTTATTGCATTGGAAAACTCTCCTACGTAAATTGACAAGCAATGGGCCTTGCCTTTCCGTCCATACCTACTACTTATCCAACCTACCCCTTACATTTTCAAATAACCTCTCGAACCGTCATATCAATTCTTCCGTCATGTTAACTTGATTGTTGCTCCTGCTTGATATAGAATCGTCCTTGTCAGACATCCCGAATCTATAATAATATTTGCCTCACATGTATACACTCGTATATCACTCAAATTGATTTTTTCCCCTAATAATTTCACCGCTCTTATTTTTTTCCATTCAATACTTTCGTCCAAGTGCTTCAAAAAACTAATTCGATCTAAACCAAGTTTTATTCTTAAAAAATTTGAACTAAGATGTGAGGAGAATTTGTAACTTTAGAAGACTCAAGGAGAAATAATGAAAACAAATGAACTTGACACTTTGAATGAGAACTGATATGTAATCCAAGAAAGTGGTTCTTGAATTCTGATTGGGCACCTTTAATTTCTTTTTCTTTTTTGGGGCTTTTTTTTATTGTGACTGCCCTATTTTTCTTTTTTCTTTTTTTGGATTTTTTCTTTTTGCTAAATGCAAAAGAATTTAACAAGGAACCCAAAGATTCGAAAATAAATTGCTTTGAACACTAAGCCTAGTTTGATTCCCATTCTTTTCAAAATACATTTTTTTCTCTATTCTTTTTAACTACACATTATTCATTAAAGTAATATTACACATAAATCAAAACTTTTTCTCATATTTCAACCATACATTTTCCATCAATTTACTACTCGTTGTACAAATTATATTGTACACAATAACATCTTGTGAATGTTTGCCGTCAAATTGCAATGTATATCACTTTTGAGGTATAAATTATTTTTCTTTTTTAGTATTTTTCAAACATAAGCCTTTGTTTTGATCCTATTTTAGGAGAAATAATGCATTTTTAATAATAGATTGTTGGAAAATATAGAGTTAAAAATTAAAGAAAAATTTTAAATTTACTTGTTATTTTATTAAAAAAATATGTGATTAAAAATAATTTTTAAAAAACTAAATTTTTAAAAGAATGAGAATCAAAACTAAATTTTAAAAAGAATGAGAATCAAACCATGAATATATATTTGTTTGCATCGTGAAAACAAGGCGAGTGGTTGAGACGAAAGGAAAATATAGGAAAGTCAAAATCGTGTCGGTGTCGGTCACAGACTCGCAAAAGAAGGGTCATCATCGTAAATATGTCGACAGAAGAAGGATAATATAGGAATTTAACAATTTCTCCGTACTCTCAACAAAGCACATGGTACTATTGCAGGAATCGAGCGCTGATCTATAATTCCCGCGGCATTTAACGCGGCGTTGGTTTTGGCTTTAGGCCCCCCACTCTCTCTCACTCTCTCACACACACAGTTGAATAGTTGATCATTTCTTGATGAAGAGCAAAATGATATCATTATTTGATTGACAGATCGCAGTATATATGAATGTTTTTGAACTTCAACTTGAAGATACAGCTTGTAATGAAGCAGAAATTGATCAATTGATTCTTCAGAGGTAAATTAACGTCTGAATTATCTTAGTAGAACAAGAAGAAGCTGAATCTGAGATGATAATTTTCTTCAAGAAGAAGAAGCGGAAATCAAATCTCGGAATATGAAGTTTTATATTTTTACGACTGGATTAAAGAGATTGAGTATATCGGGTAGTGCTGCCGGTGGAATTTTTGGCAGGTGATGAAGGGTAAGAATTCACCGCACAAGGCGGTTACTCGCCGGATTTGTCAACGGACGGTGGTTATGCCGGCGATCTTGTTGATTGGATTAATTTTGCCTTTTCTCTTCGTTCGAATTGCTTTTCTTGTTCTTGAGTCCGCCACAGTTTGCTCTTCCTCCATAGGTAATTTTGAGCGTGTTTGGCTTAGCTTATTTCTAAGTTTTTTTTACTTATTTTCTGGTAATGCTGTAATCTTGGTTCTTGTGTTGTATATATTTGTATGTCTAAACGTATTTAATTATTCTGCAGAGTGTATGAAATGGAAGTTTTTCGGCGGGAGCAATGCAACTCTAGTAAGTAATTTTGTTTACCGAACTTCGATTTGTCACCTATTATTTTACATTTTACGACATTATTTATTTACGGAATTCATTTTCAATCATACAATTTTCATTAAAATAATATTATATACAAATAAAAAACTTTTTTATTCTTTTTTAATTACACATTCTCTACTATTTCATAATAAAATTTTCAAAATTTACCTGAATGTCAAATTACCCTTTCCAGTTCTTATGCATAGACTCTTTGCTCAATAGGGGCATCATTGGTATTTCGACAAAACTAAGGGCCTGTTTGGTAACACAATGTATTCTGAGTTAGAAAATATAAATGTCCGTGATTAACCTTCACTAGATGCAAGTTGTATGTTTTCCTAGTCCCGCGTGATCGTAGTCTAATTCTTTTCTATTAACATGGATAGTTTTGTTACTTTCTAAATGTAAAATGAACTGAAATTGACCATTTTATCTAACAGTAAAATTGAACCGAAATTGAAATTTCCCAGTGTTAATTTTGTTATCATGACAATATAATTAAGGAATGTAGGTAACCAAATAGAAAGAAAGAAAATGATGGGTTGGAGATAATGCTTTCAACAGTATCTTCCACTTGAATTGATGACGTCAAAAGTTTGTGGGCATTTACCAATTCTATCTGTCCCACGTCAACACGGTTTTTAGAAATATTATGACATTTTACTTGTTTTGTCTGATGGCTGATGCTGACGATGTTTTTGGATGCTATGAAAAAGCTCAGAGAAGAGTTGACAAGGGCCTTGCTGGAGGCAACTAATTCTGTTGATGATAAGAGTGGAATTGCAACAGTAGAGGGCTCAAATTCACTATCGTCTTTCGAGGATCTTGTGAGGGGCATGATGTCAAACAGACAGGACATTAAAAACTTCGCTTTCAACACCAAAGCCATCGTAAGTGGATCTGTATAAATAAATAAAGGCTTGGTACCTGCACTCGTTTATGCGGAATTAGGTATATCTGGTGCCGGTTTCCTGAAGTGTATAAAAACTTTTATTTAGGATAAGATGCACACTCGAGCAATTCGTAGAGGATGTGAACACTGGTGGTTTAGCTGAGCATATGGACTATATGAAGAAATCGATGCATAAACATGAATTGAGTGCATTGGTTATTCAGTGCATGTATTGTTGGGAGAGCTTATAAGGAGCTTTGAAGTTTGAAGCACTCCGCAACATGCTCGAAGTCTTGGGGTTCTTAGCCCAAGTCTTTACAAGTTGAATATTATTTTCATGTTTAAGCTATGTGGATTTTTATCCTCAATATATTTAGTGTGGCTCATTTGAAAATATTAATCTTGAAATCTAACGGCTTGTATGAGATTTTCAGATGGATAGAATCAAGCCCGCTAAGATGGGTGCAACCATGTTGACCATCTTCTGGTAAATTATAAAATTTTAAATGAGATGGTTAACATGATGGTGAGCCAGGCAACACTTTGGGTTCAATTTTGTGCAAGTGTTGGATCTTTGGTCAAAAAATACATTTGGTCTGCACGTGGGGGTGGCTTGATGAATACAAGATTAAATGGATATACGAGGCCATTTCTAATAGTTTAAGCTTTTAAATGAGTAGGTTAACATAGGAATCTCTTGTTGTGTGCATACACTTTTTCCCTCAGCAAGAATAAATGCTACCCATGCTTCTCATCTGTATGTCTATTGTCTAGTTTTGCAATACCATTTTGTTCGAAACACGCAAAAACTTTTAACCACTTTTGAATGGTTTCAGCTAAGTTGAAGCAAAAGCCACGAAGTAACTATAAGATAGGAGGAAGATTTATTAAACTGAATTTAGTCAGTTTCTTTTATCATCATTCCCAAAGCCCTCTTGTGGATTTTTCTGGTGAAATAATCCTTGTGAATTAGTGTGAAATTTTTGAATTTTCTGTAATACCATAAAGTTTTATTTCTTCTGGGAAATTATTATATTGAGTTCCAGTCTGTTATAGCCTCCTGCTGTTAGAATTGAATCCTTGCTACACCTGGTGTACGTCATCTAGTTGTTACGATCACAATTTATGGCGTATTAAACACATCCTGTCCATGTTAAAGAGACCACACTTATGTTGAAGGAACCCATCCTTGCATTAACACAATGTGCTGCCATGTTTTCCGACCTTTTTAAACATGCATTTCAGAACTGGGCACTGTAGCATTTGTAGCAAGAAACTAACTAGTTATTACACTCATGTTCAACAAACATTTTTTTTTTTTTAGGTAATTAAATATTTTATTAATCATACTTATAAAAAAAAAAAAAATTATTAATCACGGATAATACATAGGAAGTTTATTATCAATTTATATAAAAAAGAAACAACATAAAATTAGGTAGCCTGTCTATACAAGTAATAGGTGTCGCATTAAACCAGGTATACAATGTCAAATAAAATAATTCTTTAATTTGCTCTGTTGTCCATGTATGATGATCAAAACAACGGCTATTTCTTTCCCTCCATACACATTGTATAGAATAAGGTCCCAAAGAATCTTGCTATCTTTATTACGAAATTTTATCCTCGATGACTTCAATACATCTTCCATACGCAATACATCTTCCATACGCCGCGATAACACCCAGTACATGTGTTGAGAGGCCAGAATATTGTTCTATAGCAAACGAGCACCGTCACAGCGAAGAAATAAGTGGTCAATCGTCTCCTCATTCCTCCTACACATATAACACCACTCCATAACATAAAAGCCACTTATTCGGAGGTTATCCATTGTTAACACTTCTTTCCTCAAAATTGTCCATAGTAAGAATGCCACCCGAGGGGACAGTTTACATTGTCATACCATCTTCCAGGGGAATGAGCTCTTTACAGGTCCCAATAATGATCTAAAATAAGCACGAATTGAGAAAATATTATTCCGTGCCAACCTCCATCCATTAAAATCAGCCCCTCCTACTCTGATGTGCGCCTCATGTTCAACAAACTTTGAGCATCTCCACCATTAAAATGTTCTTACAATCTCGTATTTCTATTTGGCACATCTTGGATAGTCACTGACATAAAAGGTGTCATCAGATTAAAAACATTTGTGAATTTGTGCATCTACGCTGACAAAGTGGAAGTCCCTATTTATTTTAATGCACCAGGGTTAAACTTACATGTAATTTGAATATGTAGTTTTTATTTGATTTCTATGGAATTATCTTGCTGTAACTCATTGCATCAGTATAATGTTTATCATTGTTTTGTGGCATGGCAAGGCACTTAATTCCTTTTCCCTTGACATGGTTACAATTTTACATTAAAGGTTAGCGAGATGGAAGCTATTCTTCAAGCGCACAACTGTTCTGTGCCTGCACGTGAAATTCTGGAAGCTCTTGCTCAGAAGTTTAGGTATGTAGGAGATATGCTGTGGCTAATAATTTAAATACTTGGAGTCCGCTAATGAATATCTGAAAGCTTGGCTGTGGTGTAATTTTTTTTGATATAGTGCTTCAGCTGAAAGATCCGGAGTGGTTGAGGTTACGGTGAAACAAGTAAATAACTTCCCTTTATGCACATGCTTAATTTTTTAATTGATCTTTCTGTAACTTTAATTATTCGCAAAAGGTGTGGAATTGGTTCCAAAATAGGCGATATGCTATTAGAGCAAAAGCCTCGAAGACTGTCGTTCCTGCACAGACAAACATGCCTGCCATGCCTCGAGATGATCCAACTACAGTTAGAACTACAGCTCAGACCTCTCAAACTCAGCCTGCTCCTTCAAGTATTATTGAATTGTCTCATGTTAAGAAGCTTCTATATCAATTTTTTACTGTCATCAAATTTAGCAAGCTTTTCCAGGTATTTTGCTGCTTGTATTTGGTTCTAATTTGTATCATACTTTCATCCAGCTCCAGTGAAAAATATGCCTCAAGTACCCCATCCTATTACTGCTCCTTCAGGTAGATATTAAGCTGTTGATGAATTTTTTATTTTTGTTTCTTCACAACATCTTAATATGAAAAATAAGTTCTTATATGTGATTATTAGTGCTTTTTATCTTTGGTGAATCAAGTGCACATCTCCCCTGGTATTATTATTATTATTATTATGATCATCATCATCATCATCCTATAGTTTTTGCAATAGTAGCAAGACTTGGACTTGATGGGAAAAAAATTACCGCTAGCAACCAATCTTGACCATCTTCCGTTTGAGATCTCAGTTTCTAGCATAAAATCAAAATTTGACAGTTCTCTACTACTACTTTATGAATGTTTAGTTATTTTAATTTCTAGATGAGAATTGACTATTGAGGTAAAAGTTTCAATTTACATTTGTTGGATGAATGATGGTGTTTATTGTTTACTTCTTTTCTTAATCTGAGCTTTTGTTACCTTCTTTTTATTGTTTATTGTTAGTGCATTATCCATTGTTTCCATAGTTTAATTTTTTAGTGTTGTAACCTCTTCGTCTGCCTATTCAAAAGTTACTAATCGATCACGAATGATATGCATACATCCTCTCACCTTGGCTATATCTTCCCTTACACTTTTCAAATGGTAGTGATGTCGCTCGATAGGACAAGTAAGAAACGTCTAGAGTTTTCTTTAAGAGAGAGAGTCTTAATCATAACTTGATTTCACTCTTAATTGGAGATCTAATGGACTTACACTTATTCATAACATCAAGAACATGTTTCTAACCGACAATGTCCACCTACCTGATCATCTAGTTATAGTCATAATAACCAATTAGCCCTCCGTATATAAGTTGCAT